CACACGGGCAGGAAACTGCGGGGGGGAAGCGTGGCTGTTTGCCCTGGGGCAAACTAACACGCAGTAAAGCGATCATACCTCCTGTGGAGGTTCTGTGGAGGTACCATGGAGCTTCTGTGGTTACGGAGAGGTGTCGATCACAACACATGCCTGCGCGCAACGAAGAAGCGTGCGGCGAACTAGTTTTCTTTTTTTGTGTTCACTACGAATGCGCATGCTCCGTTGGGTGCATGTGCGCAACCACGGGGACTTGGGGGGGAAAAAAACCTTTTTCACAAGGGGACATGGGCAGGCGCCGGATGTCACCGGAAACGCGATCAGACACCGGCCCTTGCCCCGCAGTTTCCGGAAACTAGTACCTCCGAGGTACTAGTTTTTTGCTGCGCAGTTTCGGGAGGAAGCCTCGGTTGTGCCACAGAAGCGCTACGCTCCCCAGATGTGCTGGTGAGATCGCGCCCGGAAACGCCGCCTGTCTTCCGTATCTCTTGCGTGGCTAATGTTGCGTGTGACCGCAGCCGAGGTTGGGTAAATGTGTGGAACAGAAATCTTTATTCTAGGTGGATTTTTTTTAGAGAACATTTTGAAACATTTTCATAGAAAGTTGAAATCTTAACTCGTTTTTATCATTCAAAGTGAAGGCTTCTCTTGCCCTTGTCTGTCCTTGAATTATCAATAATTGTGTCACTACGTCAGTATGTTGTTATCAGTACATGCGCAGCCCTTGCAGTGGGGCAAATACAACTCCAGGATCATTTTGAGTCAGGGAAACAGCTCAGAGGAGAAGGCAAAAACCCACGCTCACCAAGCACCATCAACCCAATCCAAACTGAGGTTCTGTACACTTGGGAATCGACTTCTCTCACACCTGACATCTGAGTGTCTCCGTCAAAGTCAGGTTGAGGGAACCCAGCTCAGATTGTGTGCAGTACGGCCCGTAAAGCTTTGTCCCAAGCGGATCTGTGCTGGCATGGGGTGATTTCGTATCTGTCCAGTTCCCTCCCCCCTTCTTATCAGATGTCTGCGTATTGGAGTTTTACAACATCTTAAACTGTATAACAGCCGTTTTACTGATTTTATTATATTTATTGAATGGATTAATTGCAGTTTGTATTTTTGAAGGTTTTTAAATGTATACGTTATAAACTCTTGTCACTCGCCCTGAGCTAGTTTTGGGGAGACCGGGTGATGTATTGAATAAAATAAATAAACATACGTTTACACATAGGGGTGGCGGCAGACCATGTTCCAGAAGAAGCGCACCGTATGGTTTCTTCCCTCGTTGCTTCATAACCTTCCCCACACTGGACTCTGCAAGATGAGTTGTAGACGAAATCCTTCTCTGGCTTGTTGCACTCTAAGGTCCCATGATCTGGTTCTTTCAGTGGCTCACAAATCCTCACTGCGGGCAAACATAAGCAAAGATTTCAGGAAAGGCAGTTGTCTGAAGCGAGATATAATAAACTACAAAATTTAGACTCTTGCAAATGAAAGCGAGCTCATGTACTCTGTCCCGTTGGAAAGGAATTCAAGGGTTACTCTTACCATATTCACAGTCACGCCCATAGAATCCAGCATCACAGAGGCAGGTGTAATCATTAATGGTCTCTACACATTCCCCACGGCCACTGCAAGCATCTGGTTTACAGGAGGCTGTAAGGAAAGTCATCAGATTAATTCATCAGATTAAATATATGTCTCCAAGTGGAAATACATGCCACACAGTATATACAGCAAACAGGAAGAAAACTTGCAGTTTGGAATTAAAAGAGATCTTCTATTCTCCTGCACAGAGCTTTTCATTTCACCCACATCTAATAAGGAAATCACCATTTAGCTGCTTGCCACGAGCTCAGCCACGCCCCCAACGTCAGCACGTCGCCGCAACTCCCGGACCGCGGCAACGCTCCCCCGCCGCGGGGGGAAGAAGATTTGGCAACCCTATTGACTCCCCTAAAAGCTTGTACTGAGTAGGGACGCCAGCCTCCAGAGATCAGCTCCCCTGGAGAAAATGGCTGCTCTGGAGGGTGGACTCTGTGGCATTGTGCTTTGCTGAGGTCCCCCTGTTCTCCCCAGGCTCCACCCCCAAATCTCCAGGAGTTTCCCAACCTGGATCTGGCAACCCTACCCACCACCAGTGGCCAGGGGGGACCTGACAACCCTAGTGCTGAGGATCATGGGACTTGTGTGTAAAAAACCATGTGGGAGGGGGGCTATAGTAAGGATGGGAGTTGAGTAAAATTGAATGAAAAGGCTGGGTGGGTCCAACCTTACGTCTTGCATTCTACAAAAACGTTTGAACAATACTTTTGAGAATAGGATGGGGAAGAGAGTGATTGTAGTAATTTGCATGCTACATAGCACAGAAAATTGGCTTCCTACACCAAGCTAGTAAAGTCTGCTGAATCCTTAGAGCTGTCTTATTTTTTTTAAGTGACATTTTCCCGCTGTTACAAGTTGCAGAATTAACCGAGGGGATCCCTTACTATACCTGTGTAACACAAGGCTGCTTTCTTTTTATCACAACGTTCATCATTCCACTTTCCCGAATCCTTCACTCGTTTTATGTAGATTTCGACACAGTCCTCGTTGTGTCTTTTGCCATTTGGTTCACCCGCGGCCCAGTTTTCAGCACTTTTGTTCAATGGCTTGTTTGTGCCTACCCATGTCCACTGATTGTTAATTTTTCTCAGCCCGATCCAGTAATGGTTTGCATTTTTATCAAGGGTTGCATTCAAGTATTCGATCTCTTCCTTGGTTTGAATAGCAACCAAGTTTGTAAAATTGGCTTTACACCATTTTTCTGCCTCTGAGTAGGTCATATTTACACTTGAGGTGTGGTAAGTCCAGCAGGTGCATTCTTGGAGCAGCATAAGCCCTAGGAAGAGAAGGCACAAGTATTTATTTATCTACATTATGCCCTGCCCTTCTCCCCAGTGGAGATGCACAGTGTCTTCCAACATTGTTCCCTTCTCCATTTTATCCTCACAATAACTCTGTGAAGTAGGTTAGGCTGAGAGTTTGTGAGGAATTTCACATTACCCTTTTAAAGCCGGTTTGAAGCCGTTTTCGATCCGTCGTGGAGTAAACCGGTACAGGGCTGCCATTTCACACATGGCTTTCCCCTACCGGTAAACAGCTGGATCTGAAGCAGTTTGCCATTTCAGACTGCACTGCTTTTCCCCATTTGGAGGGTGGACTCTGGCATTGTACCCTGATGAGGTCTCTCCCCTCTGCAAGCCCCATCTTCCACAGGCTCCACCTCCAAAATTTCCAGGAATTTCCCAACTCAAAGCTGGCAACCATATAGTGGGCTGCAGAAGAAGAAGAGAGTGGATTTATACTCCACCCTTCACTACCCGAAGGAGTCTCAGAGTGGCTTACAATCCCTTTCCCTCCCTCTCCCCACAACAGACACCCTGTGAGGTAGGTGGGGCTGAGAGAGCTCTGACAGAAACTGCTCATGAGAGAACAGCTCTGAGAGAACTTGTGACTGACCCAAGGTCATACCAGCAGCTGGATGTGGAGGAGTGGGGACTCAAACCCAGTTCTCCCAGATTTGAGTCCACGCTCCTAACCACTACACCAAACTTGCTCAGTTCCCCTGGAGAAAATGGCCACTTCAGAAGTTGGACTCTATACCCCACTGAAGTCCCTCCCCTCCCCAAACCCCACCCTCTTCAGGCTCCACCCCCAAAATCTCCAGATGTTTCCCATCCCAGAGCTGGCAGCCCTAGAGATGAGTGGGGGAAAGACTCAGAACATAGTTAATTCTAGAAGGTTTCCACCTTGAGTGTGTGTTCACTTACCACAGATGAGAATGGGCAGGAACCCAGAAATGTTCATGATGTCAGAAAACATTTATAAAGCTTCTTTCTTCACTTGGGCTGGTTTTGTAAAATCAGCTGCGCAAAAAAAAAGAAAAGGAAGCAGACAGTTTGAAAGATGCAGCCTTTCTTGTTGTAAAATATTTAAATCTGATTTTTTTTTAATTGAAACATCTGTCAGGGCCCAGGGGTGGTTTCTTCCCCAATCCCCACCCTCTTCAGGCTCCACCCCCAAAATCTCCAGATGTTTCCCATCCCAGAGCTGGCAGCCCTAGATATGAGTGGGGGAAAGACTCAGCACATAGTTAATTCTAGAAAGTTTCCACCTTGAGTATGCGTTCACTTACCGCAGACGAGAATGGGCAGGAACCCAGAAATGTTCATGATGTCGGAAAACATTGATAAAGCTTCTTTCTTCACTTGGGCTGGTTTTGTAAAATCAGCTGCGCAAACAAAAAAGAAAAGGAAGCAGGCAGTTTGAAAGATGCAGGCTTTCTTTTTGTAAAACATTTAAATCTGATTTTTTTAAAAAAAAATGAAACACCTGTCAGGGCCCAGGGGTGGTTTCTTTCACTTGAGCCACCGCAGCTCCTATTGATGTGGGAAAGGAGTAGTTAAATTCAACCCATATCTAGCAGTGGTTTACAATGAAAATAAAACAGTATGCTGATGGAGATGGGGAGTCTAAAAAGGATATCAGAAAGAAAGACAGGGAGACAGTTAAGCATTAATAACAGCATCCTAAGTGAAGCTGCACTCTTCTAAATCCCTTGAGATCAATGGGCTTAGAAGGGTTTAACTCTGTTTAGGATGGCACTGCAAACATTCGGTTCCAGCCAGCCTCTTTACTCTCCCCCAGTTCCCCTCTTTACACTGCGGGCCCGAATCCCAGGTGGCTTCCCTATGGCCAGTCCCGTGAGCCCCAGCCTGCCTTTCCTTGGGGGGGTCACGAGGGACCCCCACTTCCTTTTTCACCAGTAGAACCGATTAGATCCAGTCCTATAACTTTCCAGCAATTTATGGTGTCACTCTAAGCAGAGTTACACCCTTCTAATTCTGTTGCGTTTTGGCCTGTTCTTTTATTATTAGGAATCCCCCCCCCCCTTTAAACGAAAATTCAAAGTGGCAAAAATCAAAATCATTAAAATGATTCAGGAAAAGGTTAAATCCTGCAAGCATAAAGACCCTCCTAAAAACTGGGATTGTCAAATTGGTGATATACGGTACCGTGGATGTATGTGAGAGAAAGAGGGATAATGAGTAGGGAGAGCAAACCCCAAGACTGCCAGCATTAATGATCTGCGCCTCTATATCCCAAATTCTCCTCCTGACCACCTGTAAGATTGCTACCTCACCACAGTTATAAAGGGGTTCCAGGTCAATACCTAGGGTACCCACCTTTTTCACTATGGCCTGTGACCACTATGATGTATAAGGGCCAGTTAAAAGTTGGACCATTAGGGGGAGATTGAAAGTGAAGCCGAAGCCAATATTTGATCGTAATGATCCAAGCCCGAGATTCTACCAAGTGAAGGCCCAGTTCCTTGTAGAGAGCAAAGAGTGACATTGAGTTGGAGACACCAAGAATCCTGCGCAAGAAGGTGGAGTAGAGGCTCTCGACTCTCTTAGTAAAAGACTGGATCCAAATAGGAATCCCATATAACAAACACCCTTCTAATTCTGTTGCGTTTTGGCCTGCTCTGTTATTATTAGGAATTGCTTTTTTCCCTTTAAACGAAAGTTCAAAGTGGCAAAAATCAAAACCATTAAAATGATTCTCATATATAATATGAACATCAAGATACAGATCTCAGCCTGGCTAGAAATTAAAATAAACATCAGTCCAAAATATATATACTAGCAGCTTTCTTTAAAAGGATGGCCTTGACTTTCCCACCAAAACTCAGTAAGAGGAGCAACAATATTTCTGTGGAGATTATAGAATGTGTTTCTCCAGCAATTTTCAAGACACTTTAAAATGAAATGCAGTATCCTTTGTGAGGGCAGGATATTGGACAGAACAACAATAAAAAAACCCAATTCCAATCATATACTGCCTCACAAATTATTTATTTATTTATTCAATTTATACCCTGCCCTCCCTACCATAAAATTAATATAAATACACTTAAGACCATAAGAACATAAGGGAAGCCAATATTGGATCAGGCCAAATGGCCCATCCAGTCCAACACTCTGTCACACAGTGGCCAAAAATACCAGGTGCCCTCAGGAGGTCCAGCAGTGGGGCCGGGACACTAGAAGCCCTCCCACTGTTGACCCCCCCCAAAAAGCACCAAGAATACAGTGCATCCCTTGTCCCAAAACCAATCACAACAGCATCATCATAAAATAACATAACATTTCATTTTAAAAATCCTAAAATGCTGGAACATGGTCTAGAAAAGTGCGAGAGCAGAGGTGTAAAGTTAGCAGTACTACTTAGGTGGCGATACAGTCTTGATGGTATTCTCACCAGCTCAGTTTGTTCAACTTATTTGTGCAACAGACACAGGCTGTAGGCAGTAAGGCCACGGCACAGGGACAATCCTCGGTGTTTAATGCAGAGCCTTAGTCAAAGGCCTGATGGAAGAGCTCCGTCTTGCAGGCCCCGTGGAACTGTACAAGGTCCCGCAGGGCCCTGAACTCTTCCAGGCGCTCGTTCCATTACTGTTTAGACGTATGCTTATGCCAATGCATATAAAGCTGCCTCATACCACATCAAGCTCTTGGTCTGTCAACTTCAGTGTTGTCTACTGAGCATCTCAGGCAGAGGTCTTTCCCACCTCCTGTGCAGTCATTTTGAGTGGAGATGCAGGGAATCAAACCTGGGACCTTCGACGTGGAAAATGGATGCTCTGCCATGGAGCCACGATCCCTCCCTATAGTAACACCTGTGTATCTGCACATATATATATATGTCACATGCTGGAGCCGTGGTTCTCTGCTGAGCATAAGCCAGATGGGCATAAACCTGGTTTGCCGCCATATAATGTGGGAAACAGCAGCTGTTCCTAGGATTTTTCAAAATTAAAAAAATAATCAATCTAGACCTGCTTTCTAATACAGTTTTCAGCAAATCTGTGTTTTAAAGCAGAATAAATCCTGCAATTAAATACATCTATTTCAATGGTGGAGGAGGTTCTGCTCAGTTTTCCTCCTGGTATCACTAAAAATTGATATGCAAAAAAAGAAATTGTCTTTTTAAACTTACCGATAATGGCTGTAAAACTCTAGTCGCAGTGCTATTGTGTTCTTGAAAAGTCGCTTTGCTTTAGGAAGTTAATAAACTTCGTTTTTGGCCAAAGACTCAGCTCAGAGCTTGCACCTGCTGATGACTGGTTTGGCTCCGAACTCACAGCCTTTATATCATGAGTGGTCATCTCCTGCCTCCTTGGAATTCCCATGACGTGACTAATGTCTCCAAAAAAAAGAGAGAGAAGGAACCTCCCTGGCTAGAAAAAAGAGGAGACCTTGGAATGTCCATGATGGTAAAACAGGCAGACAGATCGTCCTGCCCCTTCCTTTTCAAAACACTGTGTCTTGATGAGTGTTCAGGGTTGAAAACAGACTCAGTTTCTACCGGTATTCTCTCTCTTAGGGAACAATTTAGTCAATTTCTTATCCGTTTACTTCTATTGTTATTGGGGTCGTAGTAGATCGCTCATTGAAAGTGTCAACCCACTGTGCTACAGCGGTGAAAAAGGCAAACTCTATGTTAGGGATTATTAGGAAAGGGATTAAGAATAAAACTGCTGACATTGTAATGCCCAGGGCCGGCCCGAGGTTGTCCTGCGCTCTAGGCAAGCACAGATGCCAACCTCCCGGCGGGGCCTGGAGACCTCTCTGCCAGAACCAGGCTGGGAGGAGGGTCACCTAGCCGCTGGTCCCGTCCCCTCCCCCGCCGCTCGCCTCCCCCCTCTCGGCCGCCGCCGTTGCTCGCCTCCTGCCCCCGCCCCCCCCAGCCCCCGCTGCAGCTTCTCTGCCGGGCAAAGAAGCCACAGGGGGAGGGGGCGGCCGGTGGCGTGGGAGAGGGTGTGGTGGCAGAGAGCGAGCAGGATCGTGGGGCTGTGGCTACTCCGCCACTATCAGGGCTACTTTTTAAAGGGAGCTCTGCGGGGGGGTATGGGCGTGTGCAAGAGAGGGGCTTTCCCTTTCTGATTCCACGATT